GCCAACATGGACGACATGGACGCCGTGTCGGTCTTTATTGCTGGCCTCGAATACCTCAAGCACCTCTTTATGACCTCCGCACCGCCGACGGCTGCGTAATGAGCCTTCTCGACCCACGTTTGTACTATACGAGTATTATTTTAAGCAAAATGAGCGCGAGCTCCTCACTTTCCGACATTTTTGTTGCAATTGGCATGTTTCTCGATGATCTCACGTTGAGACCTGGTCGCGTGCATGTTGTGCGAAAGGATTGCGAACAATCTCGGTTTTTTACATGGCGATTTTGAGCGGCGCATCGACTCACGTGAAGAGCTTTCTCACTCCGAGAATTCAATCTTTCGAGTTCAAACTATTCGTAGACTAGGTATAGCTAGCACCACCACAGTTTTCGTCGCGACGTCATATGACCACCGATTTGTGTATGCTACATTAGCGCATATATTATCAATACATAATTAATGGAGGCCTAGAGCTGGGCTCACGTAAGGGTTGCTGTTTTGGGTATTGTACAGGCGCGGGGCTCAGTGTGTTTGCTCCGGGGATGACTACGCGGTGTTCGCCGAGCTTAGAAAAATGCTCTTGAGGTACTCGAGGCCGACAAGAAACATTGCCAGCGCGTTCACGTCGACCACATCCGTGTCGACGTCGAATGTAAAGTCGTTCATGTACGAGTCAATGTCGGGGAGGAGCGCATCTTGATCACCATAGTTGAACATGGCGGGCGTATTGTTAACGTTGCTCGTGTGCGCTGGCGTGGGGAGAATCGTGTCGATGGGCATTTTGAAAAGTGAGGATGGAGTTCGTTTTTGCGCACCGAGATTCGAGGGACCCCATAATCTGGTACTAGTGAATTGAATACGTGTGCTTGCAGCGGGAGGTTGACACCTCACAATTTTGCTGTACATAAATGGAGCAACTTGTAGTTGAGCCCACCTCGTCGCAAAAGTCGTCGATTTTATGCCCTACAGGCTTGATGCGAAATTCTGCGATCGTGAGTCAGCCGCCCGTTCTCGTCGGCGAAATGATGGTCAGGAGATGCCGGCGAAATATTGTCGTTCTTTGGTTGAAGTT